CAAAAGACCAATGGATAGCGACAAAATCTACTAAATAAAACAACTGAGTTTTAGGCAGTGTCCGTCCAAAAGACCAACGTATAGCGACAAAATCTACTAAATAAAACAACTGAGTTTTAGGCAGTGTCCGTCCAAAAGACCAACGTATAGCGACAAAATCTACTAAATAAAACAACTGAGTTTTAGGCAGTGTCACGTCCAAAAGACCAACGTATAGCGACAAAATCTACTAAATAAAACTACCGATTGTGTAGTTTTAGTGCTTCAATGCTAATTCCCCGATTGTTACCCAACTCTCGACGATGATGTAAAACTAGGATTTTCCAGAACAATGGTAACAGTAAGTCATTATCTCTAGGACAATAAGCAGACTTGAACAAATATATTCTTTATTTGTCAGTGTAAATCTTCACAATAAAATAGTGTCAGATAACTCTGGAGCAGACTCATTTTGAAAACACTGACCTTTAAGATAAAAAACAAAAAAAAAAACATAATTATACCACCAGCGAGACATGCACATAAATAACTGAGGTATTACTTAGTGTTATAAACATTTTTAGAACAGTTTGTTTACAAAAAATATTTAGATGACATACTTGCATTACGATAACAATTTACACATAATTTGGTTCTCATAATGTGTTGCCTGGTTCAACACATTATCTGATTTGTGTAAAACCCAAAACCTGACTACCAAGAACAACGTGAAAAAAATGTAATTTCCTAGATTTAAATACAGAACCTGCCATGTTTTCTTTCTGCACACTTGCAAAGTTAAGCCCTACTATTCATAAATTGTATACTTACCTCCTATTTCTTTGAAATCATAACTAATTTTTTTATATAAGAGGTTTATAGGCGGGTTATTTAAAACATTTCTTCAGATTTATAATTTTTTCTTACAAATTATTACTGCTATTCTAACGTAAAACGTAGGAGATAAAATTTTCTAACAAACACCATTTCAATATTAACAGTAACATATAAAAATATATAGTTAAACACTATTTCCAGTGAGTGTTCTAATACAATTTTCATTACAATAACTGAGGGTCGAAATGACTGTCAATGTCTATACTATCACTGGAATCTTTTTCAACACTTGTTTCTTGTTTCTGTACAGACGTTGTCTCTATCTCCTGCTTGGAACGGTTCTCAACAATGTCGGCTCGTTCACAAACTTTCTGTACCAGAGCATTAAACAGTTCTGGTCTGTCAGCATACACATGATGTCCTGCTCCCTGAACCACCTGTAACACATAAAACAGTCGTGATCTGTTAACAAACACATGATGTCCTGCTCCCTGAACCACCTGTAACACATAAAACAGTCGTGATCTGTTAATAAACACATGATGTCCAGCTCCCTGAACCACCTGTAACACATTAAACAGTTCTGGTCTGTCAGCATACACATGATGTCCTGCTCCCTGAACCACCTGTAACACATAAAACAGTTGTGATCTGTTAACAAACACATGATGTCCAGCTCCCTGAACCACCTGTAACACATAAAACAGTTGTGATCTGTTAAAAAAAACACATGATGTCATGCTCCCTGAACCACCTGTAACACATAAAAC